CAGCCACAGTGTCTGACTGTGTCCTTGCTGAAAAGCAAGGCGTATGTACTATGTGACCGGACGAAACCTCCGGTTGTAAAAATTATTTTAAATCGTTTGTATTTCGTACGAAGAGTTTCGAAGTGCAAATAAAAAGGTTGTGAGTCATTCTATTAATTACAATTAATCATTCTTTTTTGGACTATGTACTTGACCGAAATAATTAACCGGATCTAAATTCAACAAAGTTTATACATGGAATCGTTTGTATTTCGTATGAAGAGTTATGAAGTACCATTAAAAACATTTGTGAGTCATCCAAAAATTTTTAATTAAATATTAAAATATCATGTATTTGACCGAAATATAAGACCTGTTCTTTTTGGTTGAACTTTGCACCAGTTCATCTTTCTTTCTCTTCTTTCCTCTTGGAGAGAAAAGGAAGAAAGATGAACTGATGCAAAAGTTCAGTCAAAAAGAACAAGCCTATAGATACGGTCACGGAAATTCCGTTACCCCGGATCTACAATAGGGTTTTAAGCCTTAAGTCATAAGAAATGAACGAATCACAATCGATTATTCCCCTCAGATTCGACTGTAATCGGTCAGTTTCTTACGGCTTAAGTCTTAAAACATTTTGTAGATCCGGACTAAGAAATTGACTAATTAGTCCGGATCTATAATAGGTGTTTTAAGCCTTAAGTCGTAAGAAATTGACCAATTGCAGTCGAATTCGAGGAGAATAATCGACTATGATTCGTCCATTTCTTATGGCTTAAGGTTTCAAACCCTATTGTAGATCCCGGATTAGTCCGGATCTACAATAGGTGTTTTAAGACTTAAGCCGTAAGAAATTGATTAATTACAGTCGAATCCGAGGGGAATCTTTGCCCATTTCTTATGATTTAAGGCTTAAAACCCTATTGGCCTAGTTTACATCGTGCACTTGATACGCGTATCAGGTACTATATTCGTATCAAATTCGTACTAAACATTTAGTACGCACGATGTAAATGCTGTCGGATTATTTTGGTACGAGCGTATCAAGCAAGAGTATCGTACTAAACTGATACGCGTATTAAACATAGAGATATAAGAATAGAGGGCAAAAGCCGTAGGTACAGGCGTTAGCGGGATAGAAAGAGAACGCTGCATAGTTACTCGTGCCATTCTTGTTTAATGACGCATGCGCGCAGCCCATCCATGTTTACTTACAAGCATGGTAGTGAATATGCCGGAATTAACCGCTTTCGATTTTACAAATGTTTTTGTGTACAGTTTTTTTAAAAAATGACTGTAAAGTGTATCGTGTGCAAAAAAGAATCAAACCGATTTTCTGATCGCAGTTTTCATAAGTAAGTACACACATATTGTACGTATACATAACAAACATACAAACCTAACCTTAATAAACATTGTAATTAATTGTATAAAAATTGATATCTGTAGTTTCAATGATACTTTTCTATTTTAACTATAATTTCTTTATTTTTTACTTTATTTACCATAATTCTTGCTTAATGACACATATTCTCACATTCACTTAATTGTTTAAATTTACCGTTAATTGTTCAACTTTCATAGAAGCTTTTTATAATTCAGAAGAATTGCTATATTTGGTATTATTATTTACTTTGAATATGAAAATTATATGATCTGTAATATATATAATTATAATTATTTTACAGTTTAATTATAAAGATTTGTAATTTATCTTGTGTACTTGTTGCATGTAGATTTCCCACAAATGATACTTTGCGACAGACTTGGATAGAGGCCCTGAATTTAACCACTATAGTGAATTTTAAAACAACATATATATGCAGTGACCATTTTGAAGAAAAATGCTTCTACGATAAAGATGAATTTCGAACAAGAAACCGACTATTTACATCAGCGGTTCCAGAAATAATTATAGAACATGCATCGACTTCATCTACAAATGAAATAAACAATCGTGCAATACAAAAACAAGACTGTGATAATAGTACTATGAAAGAATGTGATGAAAATGAAACTCCAAGTACGCCAGTTTCCTCTGGAGATTTTACTTCTCCAAACCCCACCGCACAAAATGTATCACTTTCTACTAATGAAGATGTTACTTCTCAAAGCTCAACGGAAACATTTGCCGAAGATGTCACATCACAAAATGGCAGTAGCAATTTGGACATCCAAGCGCAATCACTCAACACAAGAAATGTTTCGAACAGTCGAAAACGGTAACAATAATAATATATACATAAATTCGCTTTTATCCTGTAACTTTTTGTCCGTGTAGCACCACTCGGGTGCATTTGTTTTCAATTAATTGAAAACAAATGAATAAAAAATCAGTATATCAATTACAAATAAAGAAACGGATATGAGTAAATCGTTACATGAAACAGTAAAGTCAAATTAAAAATCAATGACCGCAATAAAGCGCTTAGTAGGTATATAATAATTTTTCCATCTTTTCTATTTTTATAGGAAGCAATCGCTTGCAGCTACCATTGAAACCAACACAAGTAAACGAATTCGTTTTATGGTTGGATTCCAAACTAAGTACATGTTGAGAAATGATTTTATTTCGGATGAAGCATGGAATAAGTTCCTTCGATATCGATTATGTCAATAATCAAAAATGGCAGCTGCACATAATAGAAGTTCTAGGAAAAGAAAAAAAATACAAAATCTGCAGATTCTGATAAAAGATCTAGAGAAAAAAAATCAAACAAAACATCAAAAGGTGAAAATGTGACAACATAGAAGAATTTAATGCTGCAGAGTATTTAAAGGTCTCATTATAATTTGTTTATTTTGTACACTTCTTTTAATTGTATTAAATTTTGTACTTTCTTTTTCTTTTATTTATCTATAAAATATATGGGCGATTCTCTCAAAAAGAACACATTCAGAATTAAGATTTCATAAAAAAAAATTGCAAAACCTACGTCAAGAGGTGGACCTAAATAAGTTAATAAAACACGCGGTTACAATCTTTTTAAACATTATTATTAAAAAATTAATGTTTTATGTAAAAAATTTATTCAACTTTTATCATTATATATTTTTATACATGACAAAAATCAATTATCTACAATTACATTTTTTAATGTTAATTTATTATGATTTACACATGAATTGTAAATATGAGTTTTTTGTAATGAAACAATAACTAATATTATGCTGTTTAATTTTTTCAAGGATTTACCACCGCATGTGCAAGAGCTTATAATCCGCATAAAAAATAAAAACCCGACTGCTCCTTTTCCTGCCAACCTTAAAACATTCGCAAGAACACTTCACTTCCATTCACCAGCTGCTTATGAAGTTGTTAGAAATAGTTTTCTAAAATGTTTACATATTGTTAGAAATAGTTTTCTAAAATGTTTACCATGTGTTCAAACCCTAAATAACTGGATTTGCTCGAAGCAGTACAAACCAGGCATTTCAGAAGACACGATTAATAATGTTTCCAGTATGGTGCGTGAAGAAATGAAGACAGGGAAACAAATCATTTTTAATATAACTTTCGACGAAATGCATATCAAACAACACAAATTCTGGGATAAAAATTCTCACTCGTGGCAAGGCCTGGTAGATCATGGTGGTCAATTGAGCGAACAGGGCGAAAATGGGAAAAAACAAGAAGCCACAAAAGCTTTAGTGTTCATGGCAGTGACCATAAATGCTGGTTTCAAAGTTCCAGTAGCTCATTACCTTATAAATTCACTCAATGGTACAGAAAAAGGTATATTACTAAAAGATCTGCTAATAAAGTTACATGAAAAAGGTATCAAGGTCGTTAGTGTAACATTTGACGGAAATAGGGCTCACAAAACAGCTTGTCACTCGTTAGGAGCGAACTTAAACTACAGCGACAAAGAAAATTTCAAGCCTTATTTCGATCATCCGGTAACTGCAGAACCTGTTTTCATTTTTTGTGATCCGTGCCATTGCTTGAAACTAGTTAGAAATTACTTTGCTATTAAAGGGCCACTTATTTATAACCAAAACGAGTACATTCATTGGTCATTTATTAAAAAACTGAACGATAAGCAGCAAAAAGAAAAATTACACTGTGCTAGTAAAATTAAAAATCGACACGTTAATTTCTATAAAGAGAAAATGAAAGTTTGTTTAGCAGCTCAAGTACTTAGTAATAGCACTGCTTTAGCTTTGCATTTTAATGAATTCACTTTGAATGACATAAACTTTGCACATTCGTCTGCAACAGCACAGTTTTGTAAAAACTTCAATGATATGTTTGATCTATTGAATGTTCGAAATAAGACCTCAAAAATACCTGAACGAGCAGCAGTTACCAAAGATTCTTTGCCAAATCTTAAAAAGAAAGTTGAAGAATTCATTTCATATATTGAAAAGTTGGAAGTCAATGTTAAAAGCAAAACATCAAAAGGTGAAAATGTGACAACTCGGAAATCTGTCATCGTTTGTGATTCTGTCAGCACGGGCTTCGTTGCGTTTATTATTTCTCTACAAAACTTGTATAATCTTTCAAAGTACTTAATAGACAATAATTTTGTAGACTACGTTTTGAGTTACAAACTCTCTCAAGACCACGTAGAAATGTTTTTTTCTTCATTAAGGCGAATGAATGGTAACAACAATAATCCCACTGCAACTCAGTATTTATCTGCGTATAAAAAAGTAACGGTGCATAAGTTAAATATTACAATTCCTTCTTCTGCGAATTGTAATCCATTA